GTGTCCACAGCGTTCACCACCTGCCCGCCCTGCCCGCAGCCCCGCACGCCGCCAGCACATTGTCCGCGCTGCCCGCACCCCGCGAGCATCCTGCCCGCACTCTCGGTGCACTGCCCGCACCCTGCCCGCACCGCCATCCCAACAGCCGCAGGGATGTGTTCCCCATCTCGCCAGCACCGGGTCAGCCGGGGCACCCCCGGGGCACCGGCACAGACCGGGCCGGCAGAGCCGCGGCGAGGGAGGTGCGCGGGGGTCAGGCCCCGCGGGTCGGGCCGGGGGTTCCACGGGCAGGGCGGGGACCGGTCCCGGGTGTCGGGTACAGGGCTTCGGGTACGCCCCGGACAGGGGTGCCCGTCGGGGTGCCCGGTGCAGGCGGCGGCAGCCGCGGGGGGGCAGCGGGGCGGGACCGGGCGGGGCCGGGCGGGACCGGGGCGGGCTCGGGCGGAGCGGTGAGGGCGCGGGGCGCGCACCCGCGATGACCATCGGCGGCCCCCGCGGCCGGCACCCCCGCCTCCAGATGCCCTGTCTGCGCAAGGTGAGCGACACCGGCACCGGTGCCGGTACCGGCACCCGTCCCGAGGGGAGCGGGCACCGCGCCCGGGCAGGGCACCGGCACGGCGAGAACCGGGCACTGGCATCGCGGGGAGCGGTACCCCGGGCACGGGGCGCTGGGACTGTGGAGATCTGGCACTGAGAACGTGCGGAGCGAGTACCGTGGGCACCGGGCGCTGGGACTGTGGGGATCGGGCACTGAGAGCGTGCGGAGCGGGTACCGGGCACAGGCACCGTGCGAACCGGGCCCCGCGGGGACCAGGCGCTGGGACCGGGGGGACCGGACACTGACAGTGCGCTGGGCAACGCGTGCATCGGGGACCGGGGCACAGCACCACCCAGTGCATCGCGGGACAGCGGGCGCAACCCCGGCCCCGGCACCGCCACGGGACACCGGGCACCGCCCCGCGCAGGGGCACCCACGGGAAGAGCCCCGGTGCTGCGTTTTCTGCTCCCCTCCGCAGGGCCGGAGTGCTGCCACAGCCTCGGCAGAGCTCACTCCCCAAAACCGGGGGTCCCCTGGATGCTCGGATTGGTGCCTGCACCTCCGGCATCGCACACTCGCCTGGGTGCTGGGTGCCTTGGTCTGGCTTTGGCATGCCAGCCTGTCCCCAAGCTGGGCACAAGTGCCCCGGGGAATTGCGGGGTGCCATGCTGACCCCAGGCTGAGCACAGGGTGCCCCTGTCCGGTTGTGGGGACCCAAACTGTGTCCAGGTCACAGAGTGCCCCGGGTCACAGTGTGGGGGAGCCAGGCTGTGCCCAGGCCCGGTGCCTCCGTCGGGGGGCTGAGCACGGCGGGTGCTTTCCCGGCAGATGGAGAGGATGATCGTCAGCATGCAGGACCCCGACATGGGCATCAAGATGAGGAACCAGCGCTTGCTCATCACCGTCATCCCCCACGCCATGACAGGTGGGTCCCCCCATGGGGTGCCCCGCGAGGCGCGTGGGGTGGGGGAGGCGTGTGGGTGCTCCCCGGGTGTCCCCAGCACTGCACCCAGCAGCCACCCCCCGGCACCCCGCACTGCTCCCCGCCCCGCACCCGCGGGTGCTCGGCGCTGCAGCTGGGATCAATTATGCATCGGCTGCGCGGGGCGGGCGCTCGCACGTCCTTGGCAGGGCCCCCGTCACCCTGCGTGACCCCTGGCACTGCCACGGTGTGCCAAAAGCCCCAGCCGGGAACCTCCCCGTGCCCAGCTTGGGGGGCCCCATTGCACCCCACTAACGCTGTCTCGGTCCCCAGGGAACGACATCGTGGAGTGGCTCATCCAGAAGTATGGCATCTCCGAGGAGGGTGAGTGCCCTGGCACGGGCAGCTGGCACTGCGGGGGCAACTGGGGCTGCCGAGCTGCCCTGCAGCCCCCACTCCTGCTCCCCCAGAGGCGCTGCACCTCGGCAACCTCATCGTGAAGCACGGCTACATCTACCCGCTCAGAGACCCCCGCAGCCTGGTGCTGCGGGCGGACGAGTCTCCCTACCGCTTCCAGGTACAGCCCCGCCCGGCACGGGCACTGCCGCAGGTCGGGGCTCCCCCGGCTCGGCTCCGTGGCACCCCACGGCATGTGACTCAGCCTCTCCCTCCCCCCTCAGACCCCCTATTTCTGGACCAGCACCAAGTGGCCGGCCACGGAGCTGGACTACGGTAAGTGCCACCGTGCTGCTGGCACCGC